ACACAGGTGCATCTGGGCCTTTTCCTCCACTGAGTGCTGCAAGTTCAGAAGTGCAGTCTGTGGCCATGACCTCCTAAACTTGGTGATGCTGGATTATCTCAGTTGCTTTGTAGGCCTCTTCCCTTGCCAGTGTGCTACCAGCACAGGTTCAACACTGCAGCCACTCAAAGGCTTGTCAGTGCAATGGAATCCATGTGAGATCACTGGAGAAATTCTGTATTTCACAAACTTTTATAAGCAGCTTAAAGATCTCAGAGTCTAATACTGTGTTCTGCTCTATTCTGCAGCAGGTCTACTACTCTAATTTATCTTTCTATTTTCCAGTAGAGATAAAACATGATTAAAATAGCTGCAGTTCCTCTTTCCACCTTCCTCTATGCTTACTGGTCTGTAATCTTCTTCTAATGCAGGCTTAACACCTGACATTTTCTCTTTTTCCTTCCTTTTTCTTCCCTGTCTCTCATATAGGTGAGCTATATTTTTGAGGTAAGGCAGCAAAATGTGAGAATGTGGAAAAAAAGAGCTTTATTTTTTAAAATCTCCATTATTCTTGATCACAATCCAACTGACATGGCACTGAACCTCTCTGTTTTATTTGACTTAAAGAAGTGTTCATTAATTGAGAGCATGCTGTGTGTTTTAGCTGAGGCTCCCCACATGAAGGGGCCATGCTGATCATAGGAGGAACAACTGCATCACCAGATGAGCAAACTCTGAAATAATCTTGGACCTTGTAATGGCAGAAGAGGAGATGACTGATGCAATTAGTCATGTGAAGTCACTGGGGCATAGCATGAGGAAATGACAGGATTTCACCAGGTCTGTCAGGGTAAAAAGACTGAACTCCAGAAGCATTTCAGTTTTCTCACTTGCCACCCAAATATCAAAATGACCTTTTTTTGAAGGGGGGGAGGGGAGGCATTCTGAGATTGTGAGTGCCTGTGTCCATGCAAGTATAAAACATTCTAACTCTGGCGTGACAGTATCTGGAAGCACTTCAGGGATCCTTATGAAGTGATTTGACCTTGGCTTTTTGTTTTGTCTGCATTTCTGGAAATTTATGTAGATCGTTCACATTTTGTTACAACTGTTTATATTCTGAAGAGCGACATTCATATCAGAGGATTTGTGCTATCTAAGTGAAAGCCCTGGAGGACTCTGTGGTATAAATGTGACTGCCTCTGCACTCTCTCATCTACTACTGTGCCACTTGAGAATGTGGGGAAATCTGGGCAGGGGAGGGCAAAACCTGACATTGGTTTTATCTGAACTGAAAGATGCCATGAGCCACAACCCTAACAAGGAGCCCTGCAAAGCTGCATTTCTTCCATTCATCACATTTTCCATAAGAAGTTTCGTCTTTAACCATTTCTTTAAAAGAATAATCTTTAGCCATAGGATGTTTTTATTTTCATCCATGTAATGGAAGAGCTATTGCTGTCCTCCCCCCCAGAACAAACAGGGCTGCTGTCAGTGGTCAGGGCGCTCTGTTGTCCCTGCTGAGTACACATGGCCAGGGTGATGGTCACTTCTTTTTCCCTTTGGACTCTCTCCCCTGGGCTACCATTAGGTTGAAAAGCAACCCAAGTATTCCAACAGTGCCTGGCACCTAAGGGCTGCTTTGCTCCTGTGGCTTTATTTGTCCATCTGGCCATCCGTATATAAAGTCATCTTTTGTCACTGGTACATACCCACAGATATGCAATACAAATACATCCAAGAGTAATTCTAGAGCTTATTAATCTCTTCTTAATGAAAATGCTCTGACCTGTTTTCTTTCCAGTCAGATATACTTACCTGGTACCAACTAACAAAATCCTCAGGCATTTAGCAGAATAGGAACAGTTCTGTTACCACTCTTTTATTCTATGATACTAACAAAAAATACAGTCTTTAATTCTGTTTTATTGTTGTTGTTTTGGGAGTTTGTTTTTTTGGAGAGAGTTTTAATATTTATTGCAGTGATAACCTGGTAAAATAATTTTGCATTCAGAAGAAGCAATTAAGAAATTAAAAGTGAAGGCAGAACTAATAGAAAATTGCTGGGTTTTTTAGTCATGCAGCATTTTCCACAGTGTTCAATGATTTTTTATGCTTCAATTATTATGTGGGATGTGGATGTCTTAGTGTGCAACTGCTGTTAAGCATCAGTGACGCTCAGCATCTGGGCATTCTTGTACTTGTGAGAGATGTGAGATCCAAATCAAAGGTATCTTACAATTTTGGAGAGCACTGAGGACTATATATTATGATAAACCTGCTCATGGTTTCAGTAGGAAATTTTCTTTGTCCAACCCCACCCTGCCAAGCCCCAAGTGCTTTATAATGTTATGAGGAACAACAATTGCTCATCCCTGAGGCTGGTTGTGTGTAGCTCTTTAGTTCTGTGCAGAAGGACAAAGCTCTGTAGTACAACAGGTGAGACTCCTGGTTTCTATTAAGCCCAAATGGTAACAAGTCCAACACTAACTCAGAGCACAATCCTGCTTCCCTTGAATGCAGTTCAGTGGAACCTGGGTCACCTCCTGCCTGGCACACAGACCTGTAAAGCCCTGCAGACTTTAGAGAAGATGAGGATGTGGTGCCTCATCTCAGGAAGGAGTGTGCATCGATTCACACCTCAAAATTTGTATCCACTGCAAAAAAATCCTTTCTGTGGCAGAAGTGAAAAGCCATGTCAAGCGTTTGTTCAGCCACTACACAAATCGCACACAGCAGAAATGGAACTTCTGTCATTCTGCTGAAGGTGCTGCTGTGAAAATCTTTTTTCATCTCTTCTTCGACATCTTCTCTGTTTGCTCCAGTCTGTACAAACCTCTCAGAGCCTCTAGAGCTTGTCTGAGCACTCCCTTCTCCCTGCTTAGCTGAAGGTATGTGGTGCACCAGCCCTGGTCTTGCCTGACTGCTACCCAAGGACCAAAACTCAAGTGTGGTCATTTCCTTTGAGTTCACCAAACAGGTTTTGCAGCTGAACTATACTCACAAATGGCTTCCTTCATATCCCAGGATACTCTTTTAGCTAGAATACTTTAATGTTATTATAATAAATCCATATATCTTGAATCCTAATAAGTTAAAGACAAACTAAGTATATCAGATTAATTCAACATATACATAGGTATGATAAAAAAAAGAGAAATACATTGACATATAAATAAATGTCTATTTTCCATTTTTATGCTTTTCAGTGGGCTTAGAAGTACCTGATATTCACTATATTTGTCACTTAACAAACTGCTATCAGGCTTTGAAGAGGAACTAGTAGAAGTGGTTGGAGTGGTTGGTTTGTCTCTTTTAGACTGAGAAATACCCTTTGGTTAGAGCTGTGTTGATAATGTTTTACTATTGGAAGGTTTTGCACTGCCTGGCTGCCGCTGGTCTCTGAACCACTCCCGGTGCAGCCTCACTGAATGAGCTGTGAACAGCCCGCGGTGCCAGAACAGCTCAGTGAGGAGGCCAGGGGAGACTGCATGGCAAAGTTTAGACAAGCATTGTCTAGATTCCAGGTTACTTCAAGGAAAAAAAAAACAACACAAACAAACAAAAAAACCAAAACAAAACAAAGGCAAAACAAAACCAGCAGAACTTTTAATTGTTTTCTTTCTAAGTAGGTCTACATGGAATTTTACTAAAACAGCAAGCCCTGAAACTAGGTAATTGTGCAATCCCTCTGCTTTGGCAAATTAATGCACAGAGGAGAAGCAGTTCAGGGTGTGCTTTGTCCCTCTGTGAGGATACCAAAATCCAGGGTGAGATATAGAAGGTGAAACCTTCATAAAATCAGAGAATTACAGAATATGCTGAGTTGGAAGAGACCCACAAGGAAGACTGAGTCCAAATCCTGACCCTGCACAGAAAGCCCATAATTAAGTCCATGGGACGTTCTTAAAATATGTTTTTCTGTTTGGAGTAATTTAGAATCATTTATGCTGGGGAAGACCTTTCAGACCATTGAGCCCATTCATAAACCCTTAGCAAAGTCGCCACTAAACCACAACCCCAAGTGCCACGTTTACGTGTATATTAAACTCCTCCAGTGATGGCGACTCCACCACTTTTATGGGCAGCCTGTTCCAATGCTTGACAATCCTTTCTAAGAGGAATCTTTTCCCTCATATCCAATCTAAACCTTCCCTAGTGCAATTTGAGGCCATTTTCTCTTGTCCTGTCTCTGTCACTTGGGAGAAGAGACCGACCCCCACCAGCTCCTGTCAGGGAGCTGTAGAAAGCCATAAGGTACCTCCTGAGGTTCCTTTTCTCCAGGATAAATGATCCCATAACCCCATGTGTTTTTTTTTTTTTTTTTGTTTTTTTGGGTTTTTTTGTGATTTTTAAACATATTTTGCATGTCTTTTGCATTTTTGCGAGGATGGAGGTGGAAAGCATTCCTGGATCAGCCTGAGTGCAATGGTATGGGGTTCTGGCAGTGCTCACTGAGGGATGGAACTTTCTACATTTTTAAAATAATTATTTATTTATTTGTGCTTTGATCCACCTGGGAAGACATTTCTGAACAGCTTTAAGCCAGCAGCCCCGCTTTTCCCACACAAGGAGCACCCCATCTCGCTTCCCACCCTGGCTCTGCCAACTGCAGACACTTCAATCCCCGAGTCCGGCCCTAGAGAAGCCCCGGACCCGCAGGGCTGCTCAAGCACCGATGGCTAACGCTGCTTGAGTGAGTTAATGACCTGTGCTCGGGGCTGCGGGAACACCGCGGCCCCTTTAAGGGGCTGCCCCACTCGCCGCCTCGCCCGCCCGCCCGCCTCTCTTTCGCTCCCCCGCCCGTGCCCGAGACACTGGGAGTCGAAGCAGGTGCATGCGCAGTGCGCTGGCGGCCGGGCGCGCTTGCGCAGTCACCTGCCGCTGGCCGCCCCCCCCGGTACATCCGGGTCAGCGCACGCCCGCCCGCACGGCCGGTGCCCGCGGTGCTGTGCGGCCGCTCCCCCCCCTCCCCCGCTCCCCCCTCCCCGCGCGCGCTCCCGCCGCCCGCGCGCGCTCCCGGCGCGCTCCCGCCACCCGCGCGCGCCGCTCCGTCTCTGCTCCGGCCGAGCGGGGGAGGCGGCGGCTCCGGCTCCGCTCCCGATCCCGGTCCCGCTCCGGATCCCGGTCCCGTATCGCGGGGCGGCTCGGTGAGTGCCGGGAGGGCGGGAGGGGCCGGGCGGGGCGCTCGCCGCTGCATCCCTCGCGTTCCCTCGGCGCCGGCGGCGCGACCCCCGCCCCGTTCCTGCGGGGCCGCCGCTCCCCGCCCGGCTCCAGCTGTTGCTCTCCCCGCTCCTCAGCGCTTCGCAACTTCTCCCGTCCCGCCGCCGCTTCCCCCCGCACGCCGAGCAGGGGCCCCGGGGCGCGGGGGAAGCGGCGGCCGCTGCTCCCTCGTCGGGGAACCACGCGGGGCACCGGGGACCGGCCGCCCTGCCCCGGGCTGCCCCGGCGGCTCCTGCCCCCCGTGGCCGGCACCGGGTCCGGTTCGTGCCCGGTGCGGGTGCGGGCGGCTCCCCGGGATGCGGGATGGATTGACAGTGCTCGCGGATAACGGGAGGGGAGAGCTCCTGGAGGGACATCCGCAATGCTCCCGAGTGCGGCTGAACATGCCGCGGGTTCAGCGGAATCCAGGGATTGGGAATACGGTGCCAAATTTGTCATGGGTAGGGTGTATCCTGCAGGTTTGTGTGCAGCGCAGTGATGCTGGGGCTCTGATTCCAGGTGGGGTTAAGGTGAATTTGGAGTCTGTAACAAGAGAGTGTTGTTTCTAACCTATTCATTATGTGGCCAATAAAATAAAATTTTAATTCCATTATAATTTTCCCCCATGTAATTCAATGATAAGGATGCCTGCAACTTAATTTACTGTTACTTTTTAATCTGGTGTCATATCTCACTTGGTAAAAAAATGCAAGAAGTTTATTCACAGAAACATTTGAGACCCTGAAGAAAGCAAGAGACTGTGTGTTATGAAGGTTTTCGAAGTTTTTTTTCTCTATCTGTTCCATAGCATCAGCATCCAGGATCCAAATGTCAGCAACAGTGTGACAGCTGTCATACTGCTGTGATAGTGGAGTGTTACTAACATTTAAAATCTGTCATTCTGAGTTTCTGGTAACATAATATGGAAATACAAATGTACATTAGCATGTATGTTAATCTTCAAACCAGTAAAGCATTTTCTAGATTGATCTGATAATCTGGGTTCTTCCTTATTACTGTTTGTAATGGTAAAAATTGCAAAGTCTCTTTTGCTCAAATTCTCTCCCCCCTCACTGACGTACAATTTTCTTTGTGCTCTGCTTGGACTTTAAGTACAGCTTTTAGTTAATCAGCATTTTCTGTTGTAGGTTGTGTTTTGGGCAGCCTGAGATTACTGTTGTTAAGGTTGGAACATGGGTTCAAACTTAAAAGCTTCCCCCTGACAAATATCTTTGTTGAGCAAGGTGTGTTGTTTTGCAGAATATATCTTTGGTTCTGTGTGGCAAGCTTAACAGCAAAATCCTAAACCACATGAATAAGATACTGCTGTTACATGAAGTTGGATTGTTTCTTGCCTGGCATACAGAGAGTATTCTATTGTTGAAACAGAAGCTTTGAGTAGGAGAGAAGATAGCTTTTTATCCCAGTCAGACTGTCAGATTTGTTATTGCATATATTAGCTGTCTGAGAGCAGGGGCTGTGGAAGAAGTGATCCTAGGATGGTTTTAAAATATCCCTGTCAAGAAGTGCCACGATTATATGAAAGTAAGGAATGAATTTGATCCCGTTATACAACTTCCATTTGTCATCAGGTGCTCTAGATTTTCTTCCTTGTTTGCAGTTTAGCTGGGGCCACCTGAGGGGACAGATTATAGAAGAGTTTGTCTTCTGAAAGTCCCTGCCTCTTCCTGTGACAACCTTCCCTGCTCTGGCTGTGGAAACCTGGTGTCAGCCGGCTCTCTTCTTGCATACAAAACAATCCTGTCCCTTTATCTGGGTTTTGTGTGGGTCTTTCTCTTGATAAAGAGAAAAAAGGATTCCATTTTTTATTGTGTCTAGCAGTAGTTATATACATTTCCAAAAGAATCGATTGTTAAATTAATTTCATGCAGTATTTAAAGACACTTATGGGGGCACCTTAAGGTATCTGTCACCAGACCTCTAACAGTGCTTACTAAACACTTGGAATTAATACTGTAAAGAGACAGAAGGACAGGGAATATTTGTATTGCAAACTGCTGAATTATTGAGTAATACACTAACAGAAATTGTCTCTGTCATTTGGAAAAGCATATGTAGGGGCCACTTTGGATTTCTGCAGCTGCCTTGGCATGGCAAACATAAATGCAGATTTTTTTTCCTCTCACTCTGTATCTTGGAGAACACAGACACACAAACAGCCTGCAGTCCCCTTTTTCTTGTTCCTGCCTGCCAGCTGGGGGCATAGATGGAACCAATGCATGTCTTGATGTAGTGGAGACAGGCAAAATTAAAGCCTGTGTTCAAGGAGTTGGATTTGTTTTTTAAACAGGTTTGTGTGTGGCTGTTGTAGTTCATTTGGTTGGTGATTTTTAGGAAATGATGGCACAAGTCAAGGTTGTCACCTTTGCCTGTCCTACCTACAGGCTTGTTCTCTTTAATGATACCAAGAGTTTCTGTCATTGATGTAGATGGGCCTGAGTGAGAAGAATGACTCCTGTTCATTAAGGTAATTTGTAAAGTACATTACAGTTTAGTTTTATGAGACATTCATCATAAAAATATTTGAAAATATATCTTCAAAGCTGAAATATTTTGAGTGTTGTCAAACTGCATCTCATGGATTATCAGCTGTCAAGCAAATGTGCTACAGGCAAGGCATGCAGCTCATGTGAATGTCTGTGCTGAATGCACACAAGGCTTGGATGTCAGTGCCAACTCCCGTGCTTGGAGCAGGATGCAGAGAGTCATCCTGGTGGTCATTTTGGTCCAGCTGAACCCCTCCTGTCTGTCAGCATGGCTTCAGAGGTGATGGGAGTGTGGGGACTGGGGATATGAAGGCAGCTCTGCTTGGGTTGGAAAGTGTTAAGCACTGCTTACTAGCTGTGGCACCTGAAATATGTGCATCAGTTAGGCAGGGTAAGAATTATTTCAAATAATTTTCCAGCTGTTAATGTTGGCCACTTGTACCATTTGATGTCTTTTCTACTCCCATTTGTTTGCATATATCGAGAGCACTTTAAGTAAATGGATGGTCCTCTTGCACACCTCTTAAATTTTCCTCTATTATTAATCTATGGCTATATAAACTTTACTAAGGAGTATCAGTATTTTCTTCATTGTGATTGTGGAAAATTTAACACCTCTACCCAGTGTAGAGAAATCTGCATTTCTCTTCATGTTTACAAAGACAGGGACTTACTTGATTGCCTTTAATTTCAGGATCTCTTATGAAATCACCTCAGTTTCCCCCTGTCTGTGATTCAGGAATGTTCTCTCGAGTGCCACAAGTTGGCTGCTGCAGCTGGCAGAGTGTTTGCAACTGTCTAAAATTTGCTGAGAGCAATAGGCTCTTACATAGGCACTGTTTTACATTTGCACTTCCAGTGCTTACTGGGGATACATGTATTGCAGTCATATAAACAGCAGAGCTTAACAGAAACCAATGACAAACAATGAGCAGTTTTAGAATTGACTAGGTAAAGCTGAAAGTATTTTTAGCTGCAGCACTTTCTCCTGTGTTCCCCATCCCCTGTGGTTTTAATTGCATTCTGCTTTTTAGAAATGGCATTTTGTCCTCTCTGTCACGTGAAAGCCTGATGTACAGAGAGTACCTTCACTGTGGAAACTAATTGCAGGCAAAGCATAATTGAAAGGTGTAAGGAAAATGATGCAGTCTTTGGCCTTTCACTCATGATCATTTGAATTTCAGGATAGTTTTAAGACAGTCATGGTTGTGAGGTAAGGACTGACCCCGTCTTGCTCAGTATGTTTATGTGGCTTATGAACTCAGATCTGTTGTTACAACCTTTATTGTCTGGTTATGCTGCCCTCTTCATTTGCTGTTGCTCTCGCATATGGTGATATTGATGAAATGTTTAGTAATTGATTTCTGGTTAACTCTCACAATGTTAATGTTGTTCATGTAATTGATTTGTAAAAGTGTTTTTGGTTCCAGACTTATTATCTTTGAATGATTTTTAGGATTGCTTTTTCAGCACCTAGAAAAAGAATTTTTATTTTTCTAGTACCTAGACAAATGTCAATACCTGAAGTGTTGACTAATTTTTGTGTCTTGGGAAAGGCTGTTTTTTACCTTCTTTGCACTAACCTAAAGTTCTGATGCTGCATTTGGGGAATGGTGTCTGACTGACCACACCTGCCTTTTTTTTTCTCTACTGCATTAAATCATTGCAGGACTGTAGGAAAAATTGGGGACTAAATATCTCTGAAATGAGGAGACTGTACTTATATACAATCTTCAAGTGTGTAAAACTAGTTTTCTGTAATAATGTTTGTATGGGAGGATATATTTTTATTCTTCTACTCCTGTTCAGTGAAAAGGCTGTATGGTCTTGATTACGAAGTGTTGGTCTGATTCTCTGGCTTATATCTGCAGCACTTGGGATTCCCAGGTGGTCCCTGTGCAAATAGTGTGACTGGGTCTGGGACAGCTTAGCTTGTGAGATTTGAGTGCTTTCAGTTTGGTGTGGCTGTAGCTACAGAAATAGCTTGCCTTGCAAAACAGGCCTTCTGTCTGCCACCCACACCAAAACCTAAAGCTTGATCCTGTAGGCAGTTAATGCACTTATCTGGGAGGCAGATTCCATCAGCAAATGCTTTACCTGAAATTGGTGTCCACCAGGCAAAAAAAAAAAATCTTGTATTGGTAATCACTTTATATATAAGAAAGTGCAGCAGAACACTGTCCTAGATACATTTAAAAGCACTTTTTACTTCAGACTACAGGGCTTAAATGTTCCCCGGTAGCAGGAGGCAGTTCTGTGAACAAATTCTGTTTAACTGGCATAGTTCAAAAGACTCTTAAATTCAGCCATGAGGCAATTCTGGTTCTCCTTCAGTCCTAGATGATTAAATTAAATGGAGTGTTAGCGTGAGTAACTTTTTCTGGTGTACTACACAAGGTAATAGATGAGTTCCTAGGAGCCCTAGTTGTAAATTAGATGAC